GCATTAGGGAGTCGTTGGTCAAGGGATCTGGTGATGGCGGTTGCGGCGTGCGGCATTGCGGACAGCACCCTTGAGCAGTGCGACGGCATGCTCACGGCGCTCGCAGCATCCAGAGTCGCGGACGGACAACGACCTCAAGAATATCGACGGCGTGCAAAGCGAGCTCGGTGCGGCTATCGCGGGAGGCTGAACACCCGAACGAAATTCTCCACAGTGTGACGCCCGCCAGGGCTGGAAGTTCTGTCGATGAGGGGCCTTACACGCCTGGCTTGGGGTCTCTTGTTCTCGCACTGGTTTGGGCTCCTCGTCGGCGCGGCTGGACTTGGCTGTGGCGGTCGCGCGTACGGCCTGCCGTTTTCCTCTCAGCGAACCTCGTCTGCGTGTTTCTGGCAGGGCGACGCACTGGCATGGTCTTGTCGAGCCGCGTGATGCGGTTGACTTTTGCAGTGCTGAGCGTCGCGCCGAAGCCTTGCCCTTGAAGTCCAGGGGCGAAAGACCCGCAGACTGCGTGAGACTTTCCTCTATGGCCCCGAATCGCTTAATCGCCTCCTCCTCTCTCCTTCTCTTTTTCTTTCTCGTCCTCACCCCTCTACCTCCTCCTCCTCCTCCTCCTCCTCCTCCTCCTCCTCCTCCTCCTCCTCCTCCTCCTCCTCCTCCTCCTCCTCCTCCTCATCATCATCATCATCCTCCTCTGGCGGGCGAAAGGAAGATGGTACAGCGCAGGTCAGGACATGGGCGTGAGGAGACCTGTCTCGGAGAGTTGGCGAGCGTAGCAGGGTTTGCCGGCATTTGACCCCTTCCTCCTGCCCAGGATCCCGTGCCAATCAGACAACAAAAATAGACACTCTTCGCCGTCAACAAGACTTGTTTTGTAGAGTTGGCTTTCTAGAATTGCGCTCGATTGCAAAACAGCAGGCGCATGCGACAATAAATCTTGCGATGAGAACCCAAGGGCAGATCCTTCCTTGGTTGGTGCGCTTCGCAAGGTGCCCCATGGCTCTGCGGCCCCATCGGGATATACGACATTCTCTTGGGGCACCCGTTGGCAGGCCAACTTATCAGTTGATTCACCTTCTGCATGGATGCGCTTGCATGAGGAGGAAGCACGGTTCGAGTCAGTACAATTGGTACGCTTAGAACTGCACCCAAAGCCTGCCCCCGTACGCAGCAGGATAATGTGACATTGAAATCCATCTTGCAGGCGGGGACGTACGGGCTATAGAGCACTATAGCCGCCACCGTGCCGCGAAGCACGGGTTACAGTCTGCTCAGGTCCTGTGAGTTCCCTGTCCTGGATGACTGAGTATGCCCGGAGTCCAGAGTTACCGAATTCCGGAGCGGGGGGGGTGGTCGCGTGCCCCCGCGTGCCCCCCGTGCGCGCACCTTGGGGGCGGCGCAGAAGGCGCCGCCACGGGATGTGCGGAGGGGGCGCTCCCGACCCTGGTCGGCGCGGGGGGGGCGGGGGGCTGGAGGGGGGGGACGGGGTCAAGACAAAGGCGCAGCTCAGGGCAAAATCCGACCCGGTTAAGTGATGAACCTTTCAGATCTGGCAGTGAAGGAGGATGTGCCAGGCGCCGCGGCCGCGTCAGGGCGCTCTGAGCTCTGAGATCGCTCTGGCACGCTCTGGAACGAGTTGTCCCGGTCCTGGGCTCGCCCGGGGAGGGCAGGGGGCCCTTCCCGTCCCGCGTGCCACCGCTCTCACGGACAGCGCCTGCCAAGCAAGAATGCGCAGGGATGGGGCCGGCGCTGGCAGGAAAGCTGCCGTCGATCCGGCGCCTTCTGCCCCCCCCCCCCCCTTCGGGTGCCGTCTTCTTGGCCCCATGCACCCCAGAGTCACTTTCGATCCGATCGACCTGATTCGATAACTATCGATTCTGGCTGGCCCGATCCGATCCGATTCGATTCGATTCCGATGTTCCAGCGATGCAGTGCGTGTTGATGCCTGCATAGCGCTGTTGTGTACCATGGCGCGGCCGATGCGATTCGATTTCGACTCTGTGCCGATGTGGCCCGATTCGATACACATTCCGATTCGACCCGATTTCTGGATTCGATGCTGACTGTTCTTGCTGCCGCCGGCAGGAGAGCGTGCAGGTCTTCGCCATCCACTCCGGATCTCGTACGGCCACGCCCAGGGAGACGCCCCCGCCTGATTGGCCTCGTCTGCGACGCTCCTCCTCATCCTCTTCCTCCCGAAGGCTGCCCCTCCTCCTCTCCTCCCTCTCCAGCTGCGTCTTGCCTCCTCTCTCGGCCCTCCCTGTTTCGGCCCCGCCGCCGGCCGCCTTCCTCGATTGCTGAGCGCCTTCCAGCGCCGGGAGACGCCAGGACAACCAGCTACTCAGGAGGGGAAAAAAATCACAGACACAATTAATCGTCGATTCCCCAGAAAATATGGCAAAATATGGGAAGTGGGGGGGAAGACAAAAAACCAGAAAATATGTGAAAATATGGGGAATCTGTTTATTTGTGTGTATTTATTTGTGTGTCCTGGGGCCCCTTCACAGCTACGCCCGCCTCCTCATTTCTTCCTGCTCGGCTCTCTCTCGTTGCCTCTTCCCTCCTCCCTCGTCCTGCCTTGCCCCTTCCCTGCGATGAGACCGATTCGCCGCCGCGCTGCCCGCCCTTGTGTCTCCGCGAGCAGTGTGACTCAGCACAGCTTCATGCCTACCCATCGTTCGTTGAAAGTACGTAGTTTTTAACCCCAGGTCCTAATCTACTCGAGGCGGTTTCCTATTTCAAGTGTCGAGTAGTTTTCTTCCCATTTAGTTGTCTTCAGGGGGCGGGCGGTAACCCAATCCACTTTCAGCGCAGTCCTACTTCATTCGAAGGCCCTCAAAAAAAGTACTAGCCCAAAGCGCGTGTGTGTTTCCCTGTTCAGCTCCGCCGATAGCATACAGCTCGCGTCGCCCCTCACTACGCCGCCTACGTCGCATTGAAGAGCCCCAGCGGACAAGCACGCTTTTTTTTGACATCCATGAGAAGCACAGCGGCAGATGCAGAGGGAGAACAGGAAGAAGGGGGAGAGGGGCGCCAACGCGCCAGGTGGCGGCCTGCAGCCGCGCGCAGCGAGGGCGTCCTCCGGGCCGCTGGGGTTGCGCCGGGGCGCTCGTCCAGGCGCGCCCGCAGGGCCGCGCGCCACTCGGCGTCGGGCCCCCCCGCTCACGCCGCCAGGAGCAGCAGCCAGCCAGCCGCCCTCGTCGGTACGACCTGGACGGGCCCGCCGCAAGGCCGGTTCGCGACGCGTTCCCACCTCGGCGCCCAGCTGACGCAGCGCAGGCACGCCACCCAGCTGGGGCCTTGGGAGGCCACGTGGGCGCGCCAGCCGCCACCAGCGACCAGCGCCTGCGCCGCTGCTGCCGCGCCCGGCCGCAGCGCGCTGCTGGCCACGCGGCGCTGCGCGTGTCCGCCAGCCGCGGGAGTGCCACGGCTGCGGCCACGACCGCGTCGTCTGTCTCCCGGGGCTCCCGCTGTCTGGGCCCGTGCGCTGCCCGCCGCCTGCGCGCGCAGGGGCCGCCTGGCCCGTTGCCCCCTTGGTTGGCCTCCAAGGCCTCGAGCTCCAACGCGGCCAACATTGCTTGGAGCGCCGGGAGCGCAGCCTGCTGGACAGCCCGCCCCTGCCGAAGGGCTGCCGCGGGCAAGCGGGCAGCCGCGGCGGCACCCGCCAAGTGATCGGCAGCTTTGTTCCCGAGTTGGTCTCCTCGGACATCTCGCGCCGCGCCGCCGCCTCTTCGTCGAGGCGTGCCTTGACAGACCGCGCGGTGGCCAAGCCAGACTGGCAGCGGGGTGCAAGCCATGCTCAGAGGTCTGCGCGCTGCCAGTCCCGCGTCGAGGCGCGAGCGCGGAGGGCCATCGCGCTGTTCTGAATGTGTTGCGAGTCGGTGCTGATCTCCACCAGGCAGCCCGCCGCGCTGACGGCGTGCATCGCCGCGGTCCTGCGCCATTTTGTTGTCTGTTCCCCGCGCTTGGCTTGTTTTTCCATATGAGTTTGCTAACTCCGGCGCCTGGGAGCGCCCGCGGACGCCTGAGAGCGCATGCGAGCGCCTGGGAGCGCCTGCGCGCGCTTGCGAGCGCTTGCGAATGCTTGCGAGTGCTGTGGTGGAGGTCGCCAGGGAGCGCATGCGAACGCCTGCAAACGCCAGGAGACACTTGGGAGCGCCTAGCGCCTGGGAACGCTTGCGCCCGCGCTGAGGAGCGCTTTCAACTGCTGGGCGGAGGCGCCCAGGAGCGCAGGCGAGCACCTGGGAACGCCAGGAGGCGCCTGGGAGCGCCTGCGCGTTCGGGAGCGCTTGCAAGTGCTGCGCGCGCGTTTCGGAGCGCTTGCGAGCGCTGGGGCTCGAGCGCACGGTGCAGCGTTCAGCAAGCATAGTGATCGCTACTGCAGGGGATTCTGCGGGTCCCGGATGTTACGTTGACTATGCTTTATGCGGACAGATCTTACTTTCTAGTTGTCTTTTGTGTTGAAGTCTCGTCCGATGTTTCTCGTAACATGTCCTGTCATTGTGATTATTTGAGTTCCGAATGTTCCTTATGTTCGTTGTAGTTTTACTCAACTGGTAGCAAAACGCAGCTCGCCATAATACTTCCGCACTGGTTGACAAGACCATTCGCCGCCAACTTTACATGGGGAGTTCCAACGGATGTGCATTCGTGCTTTTGCCTCGCCCCTGTTTTTGTTCGATGCGTCAGTTCCTGTTTCAGTTGTTTTTCTCCACCGCCCGCTTTTCTATTTAGAGTATGTTTTATTGCTTCTGGTGTGATACGCATTGGAAAAGTATTCCTGGTTCGTCGTTGACTTCGTCGCCGCCGTGGATGCCGCCAGGCGTCAGCCAGCCACTCGTCCCTACCCGATTTGCTTGTTTATTGCTAGGCCGCATGCCCACTGCGACAGCCGCGGTGCTCCTCCGCCTCCTCGCCAGCCTCATGCCGCCCCGAGGCCCGAGGCGAGACAGCCAACTGGGGGGACCTCCCGCCCGCTGCTGACACACGAGCAGCGGGCCCCGATGGCAGCGACCGTCGAGGAAGCGTCGATCGACGCAGCTGTCTGGAAGCACTCGGGTGCCCTCGAGCCCCTGATCAGCAGCGAGCTGTTCAGGTACATCGTGGCCCTGCGCCGCAAGCTGCACGGGCATCCCGAGCTGGCGTTCAAGGAGTTCAAGACCAGCGCCATGATACGCGAGGAGCTCGGGAAGATCGAGGGTGTGCGGGTCCTGGACAGCGCAGCGGGCGGCACCGGCGTGCTGGCGCTCATCTCGATGATCCTCAGGACGCTTGTTCGCCCAACATGTGCTCATCCCGTTGAGCTCTACCGATAGCACGCAGCGTGTGTCGGCCCTCATTGCGCTGCCTGCGTCGTATCCAAGGGCGAGCACACGTTGGCGCGAACACACGTTGGTAGCAAACCATGGGAACCTTGTATGTCCTCGCATCGTGTGGCAATCGATAAGAACGCGCCGATTTAGCATCGATTCAACGTCGGCTAGAGTCGATTAGGTTCGGGGTGCGTCGACTCGCGAGAGCCAGCAAGATGGCAGGGGGAGATCCCATGGGTTGCCACCGAATATTCCGAGGATCATCGATCATCTCCGGGGGTTCGCCGGGCAGGACCGTCCTCTTCAGGGCCGACATGGACGCCCTGCCGATCCAGGATCGGCGACGCGTAAGAGTGACCCTTCGCTGGAACGTCTTTTGTCGGGCCGGACGAAAGGGGGGGATTGGGAACGGGGGAGTTACGAAATTTGCTGCATGCAGCTGGTTTCGGCCCCACCGAGAGGCCCATTCCTCGATACATAGCCGCCTCTGGCGCCGGGAGGCGCCGGGAAAATCAGCTACGTGAGCTGATTCTCAAACCCCCCCTTTGCTATCCCCCCCTTTCGCCCGACCCGATTTTGGTGCGCGGCCGCTGGTGGGGGCGCGGGAGGACCCAAACCGATGCCCACAGGCCGTCGTTGCGTACTGCGATCGGCAAGCCGCGCACCAACGTCAGGGGGGGGGCGGGGGAAATACATACACGGACACCGATAGTCGCCGACCCCCCCACAAAAAAACATGGAAGACGTGAAAACTCGGGGGGGAGACGAAACTCCAGAGGATGAGCCACGTGTGGAGAATCCTGGGGACTTGTGCTGGGTCTGTTTGTGCGAGGCGCACCAAGACACTACGCGGGAGGGGGAAAAGGCTTCTTCGAAGGAGGCTGCTTCTGAAAAGGTGCTGGCCGTGTGTCCCTGGGGCCCCTCTCGCAGTGGCCCCTCCTGCCCTGGGGTCGCTTCCTGCGCGTCGCCGGCAGGAGGCCGACCCGGGCGCCGCGGGGGACGGAGGGCCGCCCGCGGGGAAGCGGAGGCTGGTCCTGGGCTTCGGGGGCTGCCCCGCGTGCGGCCACCCGGGGTGCGATCCGCAGGGCGCCCCGGGGCATCGGCCTCGTCCAACCCATCCCCGTCCCCGCTGGGCCACGTGCGTTTCACTCTTTCCTCGTCGTCGTCGTAGTCCTCCTCCCCCTCCTCCTCCTCCTCCTTCTCCTTCTCCTCCTCCTCCTCCTCCTCCTCCGCCTCCTCGTTTGCAAAAGTGTGGCTCTCGCCTCCGCGCCGCGCACGCTCGTCTCAGAAGTTGGCAAGAGTCTCAAGGATGCCCATGGTTCACGTACCGGAAACGGTAATTTGGAACGACTCAGGATTGCCAGGGCGCAGCAGTTGCGCGGATTCGCGGCGTTGAAGTCCCAGGAATGGTGATCTGGCAAGATTCAGGATGGTCAAGACGCAACAGTCAGGTTCATTCGTTACGTTGAAGTCCCGAGAATGCGTTTCTGGCACGCTTCATGATCTTTATAAACGACTGTCTCCCAACTGGGCATTTCTTTCACTGGAAATGAACCCTTGGCGTGGCCTATGAAAAGGGGGCCTGGGGGGAATGTTTTCTCCAACATCGTTGATGGGTTTTGGGTTTGCACTGGTCCTTCTCCTCCTCCTCCTCCTGATTCCTGATTCCTGATGGCATTGGAAGTCTCCGACTGCCTACCCCCCAGGGACGGTCGTCCTTGGGCGGGTGATCAAACTAAAGCTAGGTGACCCTAGTAGCACATCGCCAAAGGCCACCTGTTTTCACTTGTAAAGATAAACGTACAGAGCGGATTGAAAGACAGACAGACAGGAGGGGAGGAGAAGGGGGGAGACGGAGGAACATGCCCTCAAAGGGGGGGAGGTGAACACGGGGGATGTGAGCTGTAGCGTGTGGCAGTCTGCGACAGCAGCGTCAGGCGGGCTGAGCGTGGCTAGGGCTGGGCCCCTCCTCCTCCTCCTCCTCCTCCTCCTCCTCCTCCTCCTCCCCCTCCTCCCCCTCCTCCCCCTCCTCCTCCTCCTCCTCCTCCTCCTCCTCCTCCTCCTCCTCCTCCTCGCTAGAAGACTTTCGCTCGCGTTTCCGTCCGAGACAGGCCTCCGAA